AAGTTCCTGCTCAACTGCTACTTGCACCTAATTTAAACTAAGCATCCCTGTACTTGAGATGATGAGTCCTGAGAGTGAAGACTATTTCTTGGCAACATCTGAGCTCCAAACCTGTGGCTTCCATACGTACAGTGCTTAATGAATCAGCACCTGATAGTCTTTATTTGATTTTTATTGTTGTACTGAGGACTGAACTCAGGCCTAGTGCCTGCCTCCTAACCCCAGCATATACCTTTTTCAAGCCCACTTTTATTTTGATTACTTTGTCTGTTTCCCAGAATTATTGCGAGAGTCAAATAAGACGATGAGGGAAAAATCTTTACAAAACTTTGAATTGTTATACACATACAAGGCAATAATTGAAAGAAATAACTTTTCAATGACTGAATTGGATATCTTCCTTGTGACTTGTGATTTCTTAAAAATTAAAAAAAACAAATTTAGGCATATAATAGAAAATAAAAGTACATATAAAGTTCTTATATAAAGCTATGGCTTTATTAATTGATTGAATTTATTGTAAAAGGTGATGGGCAGGGGAGATACAATTACATAGGTTATGAGTACATTTCTTTCTAAACACTGTTAACCACTCCCTCCTTTTCTCCTGCTTACAGCTATGGCTTTTATTTAAGGGTAATTGAGGAGGCAATAAAGTTCTTTTATGAAATTAGAAGTCAAAAGAATTTGACATTTTGGCAGATAAGTACCTTAAGGAGCAACATTTTTCTTTGGGATGTTAGGGGAAAAAAATAACATTATAATTGAAAGAAAGGAACTGGTGCCAGTAGCTCACACCTGTAACACACACACACACACACACACACACACACACACACAATATCACCGGACTGTCAATCCACCTGACTGTGAGTCAGCAAAGGACCCCAGACTCCGAGGTCACTTCCTCATCTGCCAAGATCACTTCCTGAACTGCCCTGGCCACGCCTCCTTTGGGCATTGAGAGGTTCTCAGGCTCTGAAATCACTTCCACATCCACTGTGGTCACATCTCCCCACCTTTCCCTATATAATCCCTCTCAACCACAAGGTCCCACTCCTCTCTCTCTCTTATTCTCTTTTCTCTTCCAGCTCTGCATGCCTCCATCTTGTGTGAGCTGACAGTTTGCCCTCCCCCCAATAAATTCTTTTCTGCCTACACCACATGGGCAGGCTCCTTTTGGCAAAGCTAACATCTGATGCCAAAACCCAGGAGGGGATAGTGTCAGGAGTTGCTATATCCCTTCCTCTTCTCTCTCCCTGAGGGTCAATTTGCCTTCTGGCCGCCCCTCCTCAGACCCAAACTGCCAAAAGCTTAAGGAACCCCACCTCAGACTTGTCTCCTTTAATATTGCTGGCTATGCATCCACCACACTGTCTCCTCTGTATGTCTTCTTGTCTTGTGAGTAACTTCTGTCTACAGGCCCTCCGTTCCTCTTTTTTTTTTTTGATGTACCACATCAGAGGGACCCCCCTACACCTTTTTGGCCAGTCTATTCTCATTGGGGGGGATGCCTGAATTGAGAATTTGACTCTATGTCCTTGCTGTGACCCCCTTCTACATCCTTATCAGACTACATAAAGCCTCAATGCCCCTACTCTTTGGCTTGTGCTCTGGAGATTGTGGTGCAGGCTGGGTCCCAGGGATCCTCCTCTAAGGGTTCCCTCTTGAAGGCTAGCTCTCCTGGGCTTGAATTCTCTTAGCTAAAACTCTCTCTCTCTCTCTCTCTCTCTCTCCTCCCTTCCCCCCCTCTCCCCTCTCACAGTGAGAGAGCACGTAAACTGCGGGGGAAAAAAGTAGTCTTTTTTATCAAACTAAAGCACTTCTGTTTTTTTGTTTTGTTTTTGCCAGTTCTGGGGCTTGAACTCAGAGCCTGGGCACTGTCCCTGAGCTGCTTTTGCTCGAGGTTAACACTCTACCACTTGAGCCACAGTTCCATTTCCAGCATTTTCTGCTTATGTGGTACTGGGGAATTGAACCCAGGGCTTCATGCATGCTAGGCAAGCACTCTATCACTAAGCCACATTCCCAGTGGCATTGATATTTCCTGAAATTATTTGCTTTTTGACTTTAATTGTAACCAGAAGCAGTGCTGCTTGTGGCCAGCAGACAAAGTTAAAAAATGGGTGGATGTTACAAAGGATTATTACATTGCATTAAAGTGGTGCTTAAGAGGTTTTCTAAAGGTTATTTTAATTGCAAATAAAAAACAAAGGAAGTGTAAAGCCAAAAGATGAAGGGGGATGGAGGGGCTGTTCTCCTATGCAGACATAACACTCAGGAGACTGAGATCTGAGGATCATAGTTCAAAGTGAGCCTGAGCTGAAAAGTCTCTGTGAGACTCTTATCCTCAATTAACCAGAAAACTGCAAGTGGCGCTCTGGCTTAAAGTGGTAGGGTGCTAGCCTTGAACAAAAGAGCTAAGGGACAATGCCCAAGCCCTGAATCCAACCCCATAACCAACTAAAAAATAGAAAAAAGAATTGAATGAATGGAATATTAATTTGGTGTAGGATTTAGTCATAATTGTGTGCTTTTTATTATCAAAGTAAGTTCTGATGATGGATGCTTCCTTTGATTATTTTTGTACCCCCATATCATGGATCTGTAAAATATAAGACTTCCAATAATATTTATGTCTATAAAAACTTTTGGTGTAGTTTTTAGCATTTTTTCCACTGAAAGCCTGCATTCTATCACTTGAGCCATACCTTTACTTCCACTATTAGTGTTTGTAGTTTCTGATATTATTAAGTAATGTGAAATCTTATCTTTTTTCTGTCTTTTTCTTTTGAAAAACAAAATTGATACAAATAACAAAGGAATGGTATAATGTTTAAAATAATCTTTGTCAGACTTCCTAATATGAAAGGAATTTTCTGTTTATAAGTATCTTGATCATTTTAGACAGCTGTGATTGAGTCATCATTGAAATCTTCAAAACAATCTGATTTTACTGTGGCCCCTATAAAAACTTAATGGAAAGTTCCCTTTTATTATTGTGGACCAAGTTCCCTTTTATTATTGTGGAAATGACATGAAAAACATAAAGGAATTTTAGAAAGATTACTGTAATGCAGAAATAGTTTTAAGATTGATAAAGTTCAGTTGTTTTTTAGCTGTTTCTTATTGTCTGTGGTCAATACAGGAAACTTAAAATGAGAATTTTTATACTTTTAAATAATCCAAAGTTGACATTCTTTGTATTCTTAGGTAATGTTCTGTAAGCTTAGAGGAGTGACGTCAGGGATAGACAGGGTTTTTAAATATATATACATTCTTCATTCAAACTGTCACTTCTCTGCCTACCCTCCTCTCTGAAATAGCTAGTATATTATTTTCATTCCTTGGGATGGAATTTTTTTCCAGTATTTAATTAAATGTAAAGATACCAAAGAAAAACCTATGTTTCAGAAAATGCTTTCTAAGTCATATGTCAGTATTTAAATGACCATTTCGATGCTTTTCAATATTTTTCTCCTTTAACATAACCTTCCTTATATAACTGCTGTAAATTACTAGAGTGTCTATCATTCTTATGTGCTGAGAAGTGAGAATTACTAATGACATACTCTTTCTAGTTAAGAGGAAAGGCCAATTTCTTTGGCAGCCTTTGACTTCCAATGCTTCCTTCACTCACACATCCCCAGAGCCTTTGTATACTAGTTGCTCTACCTGCCACTGAGCTATACCCCACTTTTTTGTTTTGGTGTAGCAAAGTCTCTCTTTGTAGCCCAGAATGTCCTCAAACTGAAATCCTCCTGTCTCAGACTTCTGAGTGCTGGAATTACAGGCATATCCCACCATGCCAGCCTTCAAATGCTTTTTTTAACAGGGCTCATATATTATTTCCTTAAAAAATAAAAAATAAAATAAAAAGTTTTTCCTATAACAGCAAATTCTTACTTTGCTTAATGGTAACTAGTGATAGTAGCAGCCTTTTATGACAAGCATAGCTAGTTTTTTTTGTTTTTTGGGGGGTGGGTGGGGGGTGGGGCTTGAACTCTGGGCTTGGGCGTTGTCCCTCAGCTCTTCAGCTCAAGGTGAGTGCTCTACTGCTTGAGCCACGGCGGCGCCACTTCCGGTTTTCTAGTGGTTTATTGGAGATGAGTCTCACGGACTTTTCCTTGCCCAGGCTGGCTTTGAACCGAGATCCTCAGATCTCAGCCTCCTGAGTAGATAGATTACAGGCGGGAGCCATCAGCACCCAGCTCACTAGTTTTGTTTTTTTGTTTTTTGCTTTTGTTTTGTCTGTCATGGGGCTTGAACTCTGGGCCTGGGTACTGTTCTTCAGCTCTTCAGCACAAGGAGAGTGCTGTGTCACTTGAGCCACAGTGCCACTTCTGGTTTTCTGGTGGTTAATTAGAGATAAAAGTTTCATGGGCTGGCTTTGAACCACAATCCTTAGATCTCAGCTTCCTGAGTAGCTAGGATTACAGGCGTGAGCCACCAGTGCCCGGTGCATGGCTAGTTTTTGAGCATGTACCAAATGCTAATTTCGTGTTAGCTTTTTAAAAAAATCAATATTATTTCTTATTCTCTGAAAAGCAAGATACTGTTATCCCACTTAACACAGAAAGGAAATAAATTCTTGGTTACTTAAATATTTTTTATTTTTCTATCATTGTACTGGAGACCAAGTCCAGGGCCTCATGCATGAAAGGTGAGATTTGAATAGTAAAATAACTTTCTCAGAGCCAGCCAGCCAGTAAAAGATGAACTCTGGATTTCAGAGATTATGTTCTTAGCCCTACCTGATCTTATCTAACATTGGTCATTTGTACCACAACTATTAGCACTGTATATTTTTTAAATGATGTCTATCACCCATTAGGAGTGAAGGTGGGAAGAGGGAAAGGGGTGATTTATCTGTCTGACAAATTCCAAACAACTTGAAGAAAGACATTCCCTCCTGCACATTCTTGCTTGGAGATGAGTCCTTGTATAGCGTTAAGGTAGGGAGCATGCTGGTCCACTGATTGAGTTTCTCCTCTGTGCAGGTGGCGAGGTAGTACCACTCTTCACTTCACAAAGAGCACCTGCCAAGATGTCCGTGACGCTGCCCTCTGTGAATATGGAGAATGACTCTCAGTCTCTGTGCAGGGACACGGAGTCCTCCGAGTCAGACACCTTCTGAGTGGAAGTGAGAGCCAGAACTGTGATCATGGATGCCTTTCACTTAAATCCATTTCTCAGACTATTTTGTGGTCTTTGAACACATTCAGGGAAGCCATTTCTGATTTTTTCATCAAAATGAAAAGCATAACTGTAATGTTTTTGAATAAAATAAATATAAATCATCAGGATTCTGGCTGTGAGTTGATTCTTAGAAGCCTGAGGTAGTGTGCATGGAGCAGTGGAAAGGGCATGACTTTTGATATCTAGGAATGTATTTTGCCAGTGCAATTATCTGTCTTATATACTCCAGAAATTAGATCGCTAATATTTTTATAACAACAAATAATTAGAATTAATCTAATATCTCTAAGGAATTCTTTTTTTAAAAAAAGCACTAATTGTACGTGGTACAGAAGAATAATGTGTAGTATAAAAATTGATTTAAGACTGTATATACAGGCAGGCATGGTGGCACATGCTTGTCGTCCCAGGAGATGGAAGTAAAAGGATCTGAGTCTGAGTCTGGCCTAGGCAGAAGTATAGGACCCTATCTAAAAACAAACTAGGTGGCTGGCTCATGCCTGTAATCCTAGCTGTTCAGGAGATTGAGATCTAAGGGTCATGTTTAGGAGCCAGCTGTGGCAGGAAAATCTGTAAGACACTTATTTCTAATTACCTCCAAAAAGCTACAAATGGCTTAAGTGGTAAAGCACTAGCCTTGAGTGAAAAAGCTAAGGGACAGCCTCCAGGCCCAGTTTTCGCTCTCTCTCTCTCTCGTTCTCTCTCTCTCTATCTCTCTCTCTTTCGCACGCGCGCACACACACACACGTGGCTCAAGTTGAAGGCCCTGATTTAAAATCCTTATACCTCCAAAAAATAATATATGTTGAAAAGCATATGTTGTACTGTTAACTTGGGGTTCAAAAAAAAAAGCCATGTGAAAAGTAATATGTGACGTATGCTGCTATTAGAATGAAGTGGAGTGAGCCCCAGATACATGGTACCTATACATGTTATTTTCAGGTATTCGCTTGAATAACTTTAGAAAGATAACTAAGAAACTACTTACATGGGAACAGATGGCTAAGTGATAGTTACTCATAAATTTATACTCTAGAATCTGTGAAGCATGTGACTTTATTACATTTTCAAACATAAATACATATGACTAAAAAAAAGTAAAAGAACATGGCTTTGTAGTCAGACACATGAAGATGCTAATGTTGGTTTCAATATCTACTTGTGCTATGATGGGCAAGTAAGTCTGTCCTTGTCAGATGTCTTCAATTACTGTTCTTCAGAATAAAAAGGTTAGTGATCATGTGTTTGCCGAAGGCAATTAATAGAGTAGGCTGAGATGGAGTTTTGCCAAGCTCCGTGCTTGGCACCAAGTAAGTGCTGAGTAAATGGCATTATTATTATCTTGATATAGGTTTTTAGCATCATACGTTGCAGGCTATGCACCAGAGAAAGCAGCATGCATTAATAAAATAATTTTTCTCCCAGAAATAATAATATTTCCTGTCACCATTGACTTTCAAGCACATAGTATAATTAGTCATTCTTGATTTTGGGGGGCATTTTTGTAGGTTATTTAGTGGCTCTCAACTCACTAAATAACTTAGATAAATGTTTTTAAAGTTCCCATAGAACCTCTGGGAACTAAAAAAATATTAATACATGGGCTACATACCAGGGATTCTAATTTAATTGATCTTGGGTGGGATCCAGGCAGTGGTATGAGAAATAAGAAACTTTTCAGGCAACTTTAGTGTGTCCTCAAGGATGAGAATTACTGAAGAACAGTTTGTATTTTTTTTTTGTCTGTCGTGGAGCTTGAACTCTGGGCCTGGGCACTGTCCCTCAGCTTTTCAGCTCAAGGTAAGCACTCTACAACTTGAGCCACAGCACCACTTCCCAGTTTGTAATTTCTTAAGCTTCCTGAACAGTCCATGGCCTACAGACTTTTTCTTACCAAATATTAAAAAAAAAAAAAAAAAAAACCTAAGGAAACTCAACAATATCAACCCTCCACAGGTATTTCTGCTTATATCCTAGTCCCTCAAGCTTTTCTTTTCTTTTTTTTTTTTTTTGGGTCCGGTTGTGGGGCCTGAACTCTGGGCCTGGGCACTGTCCCTCAGCTCTTCAGCTCAAGGCTAGTGCTCTTGAGTCACAGCGCCACTTCCGGCTTTTTTCTT